TGTGTGTGTGTGTGTGTGTGTGTGTGTGTGTGTGTGTGTGTGTGTGTGTGTGTGTGTGTGTGTGTGTGTGTGTGTGTGTGTATGTGTGTGTGTGTGCGTGAGTGTGTGTTTGGCCATGTTCGATGTACACAAGTCTACGAATAAAGCATGACTGTGACAGCCTGTCTCGTCGGACCACCGACTCGTCGTGTTTGTCTCTGTTTGTGTGGGTGTGAGAGAGAGAGGCAGAAAGGAGAGAACAGAAGACATGCGAAGCGCTGGTTGGGAGAAGGAAACACACAGATGGAAAACAACAGCTTGGCCGCAGACAAGTGCATCCTTGAAAAACCAATAAGTTTCACGAATATAAAAATAATTGCATTCCCGTAAATAACAGCAGTACATTTTGGGGGCTACTCCATGACCGTGAATTCACTTCGGAGAATGTCCTCGATCAGTGTGCATTCTGAATCTTTCGCATCGCAATGTTTCGACCAGCAGTCTGAAACTATCAATCCTTCCAAAACTGTCCGAATGCTTATCTACGATACGGCACACCCACAGTCCTCCTGTCCGCCAGTTCAGAGATGCAAAGCCATCCAGCGGTTCTTTCAGAGATGCAGTCGAACGACAACGGAGCGACATTTTGTTTCCGAACCGATTCACACATCGAGCAATCACTGCACAGACGTAGGCATAGGAGAACTGAGCGCTCTCAACGGCCCGCCCCAGACTTCCCTTGATTCTACAAGGTAGCCATAATAAATCTCGACATCCCACATCATTTCGCGATCAGTATATATGCAAATTCGCCTCGGACGAATGGTCAAAATAGGCGTGAGCATGCGCCACAGGTGGAGCCACCAATCAATTCCACCGGGAAACAAGCTCGCTCGATAATGCAAGGCTTGACACTATCACTACTCTAAAATTAGCTGTCAGCAAACAAATGGGAATTTGCTAGAAGAAACGTGGCCTCTTGCTAGTTTTCCTCAAACGAGATATCATCGAGCTAGGCTATCCTGGGATTCCTGGCTCCCGACTAATAGACTGGAGCATGCTCCTATAACCCTCGCTAGTGAGGTCGGGGCTGGTTCTTCAAAAAAACAAAAAAAGAAAACAAAAAAACAGAACTAGGCTATCCTGGGGTTCGTAGACCTCCCCCTTGATCGCAGTCTAGCAAATGTGGGTGGCTCCTTTCTAATGGAGAATCTGCACCTGAAGGAAACGAGGTACTACGTTCTCACTGAATTAACGCCGGTAGTGTTACCCTTCCTAGGAGGATAACCCACTCGCTACTTATACTTCTCTCCAACTGATCGGCGTGACCCTCTTGCACTTACGCTACGGTGATCGCGTAATCCATGCAAACATGCCTCAGGGCCCTCGCAACGATGGACAAAAAAGATCGTCTGAAGTGGTCAGAAACCGACAATGATAAATATCTCGAGTCGACCAAAAATCCTAAGAAACTCCTAAAATCCTAAAATCCAAATCCACCGAGGACACAAGAAAGAACTACACTACACTCTCCCAGTATTCACAACCCGCCAAAAGGAGCAGACTCTCTCTCTCTCTCTCTCTCTCTCTCTCTCTCTCTCTCTCTCTCTCTCTCTCTCTCTCTCTCTCTCTCTCTCTCTCT